GTCTCGAACTCCTGAGCTCAAACAATCCTCCCGCCTCAGCCTCCCAGAGTGCTAGGATTACAGGAGTGAGCCACTGCGCCCGACCGTCTTTGCAATATTTTAAAGCTGAATATATAAAAGATAGTTTAAGCTGAACAATATGTACATAACCTTTGATTTTCATCATGTCCCTCTAATCACAGATTTGTCACTTATGGTATGTCAGTATTGTCTTGCTTACTAACACTGAAGCCGGTTGTTTAAGCACTCAGTTGTGAGTATCTGGTGAGAAGCTTTAAATAACTAGATAAACAGTATAGCTGCCAACCTAAAGTAATCTTACACTTAGGGGGTGAGTGGCCCAGGAAATGTGCTCTTTGTCATTTTGACTTGGGTTTGAAAATGGACCTGGGCTGCATTCCAGATCAAAGAGCCATTCACTTCCAAAGACTCCTAAATTGTCCCAAGGAGCTCATTTTGGCAGTGGCTTATTTGTGTTTGGCTGGGCATCCTAATAGCAGAAGCTGTCTGCTCTGGCAGGCAAGGGCTATGGCAGCATTTAGAATTACCATCCCCAGTGTTTTTTTCTTGATGAGGTTATTTTTCAGAAAAGCAATCCCCCACCCCCTATTTAAAAAGTGACACTGCACAAGTGTGCAGGTGGCTTTCCTGAGCTCATAAATAGTTTCCCATGGCCAGGATGGCCTGTTTGATTGTATCAGAGGCAAATTTTAAACAAATGATAATCAGTGTCAGATTTCTCACCAAACCAAAGCTGTCCTAATGGCATAGTCACTTCTTCCTGTACCAAAGGTAAGTGACAATTATTGGCTGACTACGGCTAAGTGAGAATGTGGGATTTTATAGCAAAAAATAAAGAGTTTCTGGAAGATTTTATTTTAGAGAACATAGAGGCTAGGTACTTAAAGAGTCAATACTTGTTTATCTGCACAATTATAAATGACTATTGTCTGACACTAGACAAGAATAAGTTTTGGTTACCATAGGTTGGAAGGAATGCACAGATGAAGGTCTAACACAGAATTAAGTGTAGATTTATTATATGAAATGAGTCTAAAATTAAGTATGCAAGAAGATCTATTATATTTATATTTTTATTAATATCTCATTTGCATATATGTATTTAGCATTACATTATGGTATCAGTATTACACATATATAATTTAACACAAATGACTAGATATATATTGAAAGTGCTTTTTAAAATAGGTTAACTGATGGAAGTATATCATCAAACTCCTGTTTACTATATTATTGCCTCATAGTCTCCCATAAATCCATGAAATTTACTTTGATTTTTCAAAGAATATGGGAGGTATAATATGAGTAGACTTCTACCATTGAAGGAATGGAAGAGGAAAATACTTGTGCTAAGTGCTAAATGTTATGTCTTGTATAATCCTCACAACAACCCTCTGAGGTAGCTATCCCCATTTTAAAGATTACAAAACAGAATGAGGAAGTATTTCCTGTGCTTCTATTTTCTAGAACATATTATAGAAAATTGATATCATTTCTTCCTTGGATGGTAGAATTCACCAGTGAAACCATGTTGGCCTATTTATCAGGTTATTTATTGCTGATTAAACTTTTAAAAATGTAAGTCAGGCCCAGTCCCAGCTAGGCCCTAGTCCTAGCTTCTCAGAAGACTCAGGCAGGTGGGTCACTTGAGCCCAGGAGTTCAAGGCCAGTCTGGACAACATAGTAAGACCCTGTCTCTAAAAAATATATGTGCCTATTTAGATTATCTATATCTCCTTCTGTCAGTTTTGGTAATTTGTGTCACCCAAGGAATTGGTCCATTTCACCTAAATTATCAAATTTGTGGTCATACAGCTCCTCATAATATTCCTTTATTATATTTTTAACACTCATGGAATCAAAAAAGATGGTTCATCTTTCATTTTATATACTAGTAATAATTTGTTTCTTTGTTCTTTTGTCTTAATTAGCCCAGTTAGGGGTATATCAATTTTGTTAATGTTTTCAATAACCAGGTTTTGATTTTGCTGATTTTCTCTACTATTTTTTTATTTTCAGTTTCATTGATTTCTGCTTTGATTTTATCTCTTTGCTTCTGCATACTTTGGAATTAATTTGATCTTTTTTTCCTAGTTTCTTAAAGTGGAAGCTTAAAGTATTGATTTTTGATCTTGATTCTTTTCTACTATATGCATTCAGTACTATACATTTTCCTCTAGGCACTGCTTTTGCTACATCCCACAATTTTGATAGGTTGTATTTTCATTTTCACTTAGTTCGAAATATTTTCTTATTTCTCTTGAGACCTCTTCTTTGACCCATGTGTTATTAAGAAGTATACTGTTTAATTTCAAATATTCTGGAATTTCCCAGCAATCTTTTTGCTATTATTGCTAGTTTGATTCCATTGTGACCTAAGAGCAGACATTGTATGATTTCTATTCTTTTAAATTTGTTAAGGTGTGTTTTATAGCCCAGGTTGTGGTTTATCTTGGTAAATGTTAAACATGAGTTTGAGAAAAGTGTGTATTCTGCTGTTGCTGGATGAAGTAGTCTGTAGATGTCAATTTTACACAACTGATTGATAGCGCTATTCAGTTCAATTATATTCTTACTGATTTTCTCCCTGCTGAATCTGCCAGTTACTAGTAAAGTGGTGCAGAAGTCTCCAATACAAAAGTAAATTTGTCTTTCTTTTTGCAGTTCTATGAGTTTTTTGCCTTATATATTTTGACACTCTGTTATTAGGCACATATACATAAGGATTGTTAATTCTTTTTAGAAATAGAACCCTTTAACATTATGTAACGTCTCTTTTTATCCCTGTAATTTTCCTTATTCTGAAATCTGTTTTGTCTGAAATTAATGTAGCTATTTCAGCTTTTGATTAGTGTCAGCATGGTATATTTTCCTGTATCTCTTTCATTTTACTCTGTGTTTACATTTAAAGTGAGTTTCATGTAGACAACATATAGTTGGATCTTTTTTTAAAATCAAGTCTTTGTCTTTTATTGGTATATTTAAACTATCCACATTTAAAGTGATTATTATTATAGTTGGATTAATATCTAACATATTTGTAACTGTTTCCCCTGCATTGCCCTTGTTCTTTGTTTTGTTTTGTTTCGTCTTCCACTCTTTCATGGTTCTCTAGTTCTACTTAAACATTTTATATGATTCCATTTTCTTTCCACTCTTGCATATCAATTGTACTTCTTTTAAAGTTTTTTTAGTGATTGCTCTAGAGATTGGGATAAGCATTTATGACTAATCCAAGTCCACTTTCAAATGGCACTATACTGTTTCATGTGTAGTACAATTGCCTTTTAACAGATTATTCCCAATTCTTCCTTCCCACTTTTTATAACATTGCTGTCATTCATTTCCTTTATCCACAATCTATAATCACCAATGACATTGTTATTATTATTTAGAATAAAGATGGTATCTTTTAGGCCATTTAAAAATAAGAAAAATAAAAGGTCATATTTAACCTTTATTTATTCCTTCTCTTTATTTCTTTACATAGAGCTGAATTTCTAATATATCATTTTCCTTCTCTCTGAAAACTTCTTTTAATTTAACTTGCAAGGCAGGTCTATATTTTTGAAAATTAAATGAAATATTGTTATATATGTGTATATTTATAAAAGTAAAGCTATTCACAGTTCCAGGAATCAGTGTTCCTCAGGTTGCTAACATAAAAAAATTACTATTATGCTTCACATAGATGTCTAAACTTTACACACTGAAATTTAAGAGTGATATGAATTATTTACTATTGCAAAATGTTCCTGAGATGTCATGTGCAACTGTTGCAAAGCCTGTGTTGATTTCTGATTACCTCCAGAATTACAATTTGGAACAAGAAAGCAAGAATATGGATGCTCAGCATCACAGGAAAATGATATTTCATTATGTAAAATTCTGTTGCATTCATGCTATCCAAGAGGAAGGATTTTGTTCAAGTTAATTAATTTGTCTTTTATCTAAGCATTTTTGTTGCTCAAATTGTCTTTGTACTCACAAGCAGCGTCTGTCACAACCCGCCATCTTTCATGTCAGTTGGGTATGACAAACACAGAGCAACAGATGTGGAGCTTTTCCCTGGGGCTTGAAAAACATTAGTTATAAAAGCAGATATTTAGGGTTAGAGGCTCTGTTGTAGCAGAGTGGAGAGCCAGATCCCTAGTGACAGGGACACCCACATGTCCACATGTTCTTTAATATATTTGGTTTTTGTATGTTTGTGATATGTAGGCATTCTAAAGAGCTGGACCCAGGTCCTTTTCTCCTAGGTTTTCTTAAGAGAACAGCAACAACAACTCAGCCCAAATTACCTCCCTTAAGGATAGACCTTCTTTCCAAGAAGAAACATAAACCTTTATATAATCTGATCATTTATTAACAGTATTCACTGTTGATTTGGTAGCTTTCCTCTTTAATAACTTTGCCTGTTTAACATGCACAAAAAACATTCATTTCTATCCTCAATCAAATGCTGCTTCTCTGGTTATGCAACAAAAAATGATTTCTCCCATCTATCTTCTGACTTCATTTACCATTCATTTGAATCAACCCTGCAGTACTAAACACAGCCTGCCTTCAATTATAGTTATTTGGGTGTATCACCTTTCCATTGTCATTCATTCGGTCAACAAATATTTATTTCTCACAAAACAAAATACTGACCCATATGGAATCAAGGTGAAAATTTTAGATTGCTAGCTTCTTGAAGACAGGTGGATGTGTCTGCTGTGTGCATTGATCAGGGATGCTTGTGGGTGTCCTCCACAGTTGTTAAAAACTATATGTCTAAGAAAGCCTCAATATATCTGACTTTCAACTGATAAAACGTCTAAAACTCATCTGCTGAATTTGTTTTACAGGTCTAACAGGAAATTTGAAGTGGAGTTGAATGACATCTGTTTAGCAATTTAATATAATCTAAATAATAATGACAATAACATAAGATCAGTGCTATCTCTGTGGTGATCTTTGATATTTTTTCCTCCTAGGATTTCCAAACTGTATTACCATCATTTGAGCTCTTCTCCAAGTATGGAAAATTATATTCAAAAGCTGGAGAAATTGTATAAAGGTATGCATTTTTTGCTAAGAAGTGCTCCAAAAAGTATATTAAATAGCATTAAAAATCATAACTATCAAGCATTTTTAAAACCAAGCTATAATAATATTTATACATAATAAGACTCTGTAAATTTCTTTCATTCTAATGTAATGGCTTTTAACATTTAAAAAGAATGGATTTTGCTGTTCAAATCTCTTCTCCAAAATGAACCAAAAATACATTAATAAATAGAAGTGATAAAAATCTGAATAGCTCTTTATCTTTAATTAATACAATAAATAAATAGTATTACATGATACAGTGAAAAATACTGATGGTGTCCAAAAGCTAAAATACTTCTCAGTATTCTATTGATACAGTATCATTTAAAATACTATATACTCAATAATGTTCATTGTTTGAAGTATGAGGTGTCTTAGGAGACACGAAAGAAATAGAGTCTAGGATCTCTGATTATCAAATTTTGCATGATAGATGAGAAAAAAGATAACCGCATAAGATTCAAGGTAACAAAATAAGCTCTCGATGAATGGTGTATTTATTTGCTAAAGTATTTTAGAATAAAGAAGTTGTTATAGTCAAAGTGAGAGTCATAGACAGTATTCTGGCATTTTCAGCCAAATTTGGAGGAGGTGTTGGGTGAAGACAGCGAAGATCACTACAGTTGAAGGAAGAGGCAGGTGCGAGAAACCATGCTAGCTAGAATCCCCTGGGTGTCCTCCCACACCAAGAAACAAGGGGGACCAGCATTGAGCCTTTGGGAACAGCACAGAATAGATTCAAGGAACTTAAGTTTCTTAGATTTAGCGTTAATGTCTCCTCTACCCCACTTAACCCCGAGTGCTTCAACTTGGAAGTTAATATGGTAAATGCAGATACTAATGTCTATCTTTTAGCTACTTCAAAGGAGTACATAAGGGGAAATATGAAATATTCTCAGCTAATAGAAAAATTTATATCTCCTTCAAAGGTTTATAAAGTATTAATATCATTATCCATTAGAGCACTTACCTGGTATTTGAAAGCCAGTAATAAAGTAGTCCAAGTAAAATGTTTCATATTTATGTGTGACTTAAGTTTTTAATTTAAAGATATATCAACCCTATTTGTAATGGTAAAAGATTGAAACGACTTGAATGCTCATTAATATATGATAAGTTAAATAAATGATAAACTACATGTAATGAAATATTATCCAGGGAAAAAATTGTTAACATAGATATTTACCTATTAATTTGAAAAAAATGCCTATAATAGGTTTCTAAGAAAGGAAGACTGGATTCAAATCACTTTGTGTAGCCTGATATCATTTTTAAAAGTCTGTAGGTATATCTATATATAAATATATGCGAGTGTATAATATACAAAGATATGTATGTGTATAAAAACATACTAGCATATATTTACATATTAAATATGGAAATGTATACATTTGTATATTGCAAAAATGCTGGTGGTTATCTGGGTGGTGAGACTATGAATATTATTGGGGGGATACTTCTTTCTATTTCCATTTTTTATTGTTTTTATGTAATCAAGCAAAAAGCAAAATGTTAAAACAAAATACTACAATAGGGACTATCTACTCTACTTCACCAATTACAAAAACATCTTGACTTTATTCTACTTAATCATAATAATTTAGAGACAATTATCTTTTTTTCTGAAGACAAAATAATTACTTGCTAAATTGTTATATACAGAAAGACAAGGAGAAGTAGCAAATGTTTCACATTATTTTTAATTTAAAATAATGTACAATGCAAAGACACAAATAACATGATAGAATATTTTTAAAGTGTTTGCTAATTCTTCTCTTGGGTTTTTAACTATTTTGTGAATTGATGATATTTTCAAAATGTCATCTCCTCCTTTTAGATAGGAAATGACAGTCTGGTGTTTAATTTTGGTAAGTGAAGGTTAGCAGCCGTAGATGAGGCTCTCCTATTAAGATTTAATTTCACCAAATACAACAAAGTGCTTCTGCTCTTTGTAAAAAAAGGCCAAGATGGGGACACCTGCACCAAACTGTTGAATAAAGATGCTGTAGTAATTTTTAGAGCTATCTATTTGATTGCTTCGTCTTCAACGTAGTTCATCACTTCACTATAATTCACCCGACATTGCCTCTTACACCCAATACTGCATTTTCCCATCAGTCCGATTAGAAATAGCGATGCCTTTATCAGATTAATCTTTCTTTCCTTTAGTCTGTTCGAGTTTAGAATAAACAGAGCCTACACCTACTGTTATCTTTAATGCACTAAGATTTCAGCCACTGAAATTGCTCAGAGAAAATTAGATTTTAAACACACATACCTTTTAAAATCTACTCTCTGATTATTAGGATAATATGACTCCTTTTAATTTCTTTAATTTGTCTTGTTACCTGGTCACTTTTTGTAACCTTCAGTAGCTTCCCCAAAGCAGTTTGGTCTAAATCAGGATGTGCCGTGTCCTTTGATGGTACTTTGCCACCTTCATCTTTCTAGGCAGAAGAGTTTCTTTAAAGATTATTGTGGAGAAAAATTAGCAACATAAGGTGAAATCATTGGTTGTAATCTTATGAACTGGATACTGTATGCAAATCAGTCTGGCATCATGTGCGTTTTCTTGCATTATTTGCTTCTCAATTTTCTCCAGTTCTTCTTTGCAATAGGTTTTGGTCCAGGCTTCTTTCTGTTAAAAAGTGATTCAATTTTGAGACGAGATGAGATGAGTTTTAATTAAATTATTTGTTAGGCATGAAAAACAATGCCCTTTTTCTCCTTTTCCGTGGGAATTTGGCATATGAATGACTCAAATATCAGAGAAAAAAATTAAAAATAAGTATGGTTAGCACTTAGACTGGGAAAGGGGTAAAAACGTCATTGTCTTTTTGCCAGAGGGAATAAGATCTTAACAACTATATAAGGAAAAAGTTATATTAGGTGAGAGTAATAAACATATAAGCTATGTATATGCCTGTTAGTAGTTAAAAATGTTAATTTAGTAAGAAAAATTATTAAACTTGTCATTCAGTTTTGTGTGAATCTATAACCCTTTTAAGTTTAGTCATAGTGAATTGGCAAAAAAAAAATAACAAAGTATCTTCAGCATCTTTCACTCGGTTAAATTGTCCTTTGACTAAAGATGTTATAACCACCCACCTGCCTATGTGAAGTTGTTTTGCTGTGTTTTTCCATAACCGAGGCATTGACTGGATGCACCGTGAGTCTAGCGACACACATTATCAAGGTTGTGAATCAGGATCTGCAGTGATGAAGACAGGAAGCAGAGAACAGGGCAAAGCCAGCAGGGCTATCCATGAGTGAGGTCAGGGGCTGTGGCAGCCCAAACATGAACTGAGCTAAAGCTAAGAGAGGAAGTTGTAAATAGAGAATTTGAGAACTCATGTTATTAAGGTTCTTTTTTTTTTTTCTTTCATTTTACAGTTTTGGTTTTAACAAATAAAAGAAGAGAAAATGTAAAAATGAAGCTAAGGAATGAAGTGAACATGAAATAAAAGACACCCACTGCCTGGAGTTCTGGATTCTACTTTCATGCTGAGCAGAAACCTTAACACGAGTCTCTTAGCCTCTGTGATTTTCTCTCTCTTATGTGTCAGAAGAAGCAACTGAAACTATCTGCATTAAGAGCGAATCAGTTCTACAAGGACATACAGATGAGAATCCTATAGGAAATACACTTAAACCATACTTCCTATGATTTAATAAACTATAATATTTTGTAGCCTAGTCATTAATTAATTAGTGTGTGTGCATGTGTGTGCATATGTGTGTATTTTAAATCTTCTAAATATATCTTTTGGAATAAATGCTTCAACTTGAGTCTTCTCTTCTGGGAATGTCCATCACAACCACCACCCATGGCGACCAAAAGAGCCATAAATGGTTCCATCAAAGTGTCTATATTTCTGACCTCATCACCCTGGTCACAAATGATGAGGCCAGAGTTGGGTACCTCATAAGGACAACTAGCATGTAAGTAGAAGGAAGAATGGTTTGAAGTACAGCTAGTGTGAGGTAGTTTGGCATAAAAGCTCTGCTGTGAGCGGAAATAATGACTCATTAGAGCAATTACACAATTACAACCCCCTCAGGCCATTGGACTTGAGCCCCATAGACACAACAGACTTAGATTAGTAGCTGTAGGAGCAGAAATACAGGTGCTCTCAAGTAGGGAAGAGATTAGCAGGTCTCTGCTGCAAAGACAGCAAAGAGTTAATTTGTTTGCTAGGGTTGTGTTAGATCCTGCATGGCTCTGAACTACAGTTAGTTTCCAAGAAGCCGGGCTTTTGTGAGGTTCTTGTTTTTTATGAGAGGCCTGCATTTTCCTGGAATCCTTGGAAGTTAACTCAAGAATTGAGATTTCTAAACCCATCCCATGTGTGTTCTTACAATAAAACTTACTGCTAGAGGTAGCCTTAGGGAGTCTTTGTTTCTTGCACCTGAGAGAATAACACAACTCTTATTGCGCATGATTTGGGGGTTGGATCCAGCGTTAGCACACAGGGACAGGAAATGTGATTTATTGATCATAAAAGCTTTCATTTAAAATTGCTGGCCAGCAAAATCCAAAATTTGGGAAATGTTATAGGCCAAGTGACCTGTTTCTTCAACAAATAATTTGCAAAATTAAAAAAGAAAAAAAAAGGAACCTGTTAAAAGTACATATCAATCACTGTGTATATATTTATTGGCTCCTGATTTGAATAAACAAACTGTAAAAGAAAAAGATCTCTTTAGACAATTGAAAGTTCAAACACTGATTGGATATTAGGTGGTATAAAAAATTATTGTCATTTTTAGGTGTGATAAGATATTGTTTTGTTTTTAAAAGTCCCTATCTCTTAGAAACACATGTTGAAATATTTACAGATGCAATGATGTGATGTCCAGGATTTCATTTAGGAGGCAGAGAAGTGGGTGGAAGTATAGAGCCTCCTCTACCTACCTTGGAGTTATGTCCCAATAAATCCATCATAAATTGAAAATATCATAAGTAGAAAATATTGTAAGTTGAAAATATATTTAATACACCTAACCAACCAAACATCGTACCTTAGCCTAGCCTACCTTAAATATGCTCAGAACACTTACATTATAGCCTACAGTTGGATAAAATCATCTAACACAAAGCCTATTTTAGAAGAGAGTGTTAAAAATCTCATGTAATTTAATGAATACTGTGCTGAAAAGTGAAAAGCAGAATGGTTATATGGGTATGCAACATACAGTTTCTACTGAATATGTATCACTTTCGCACCAACATAGAGCAAAAAAGATCCTAAATCAAACCATTGGAAATTGGAGACTATCTGTGTGTATGAAGAAAGATTAACCAAGAGTTGATTATTAAAACTGGTGATTGTCTATATGAGGATTTATTATATGATTTGTCTACTTTCGTAAGGTTGTAATTGTCTCTAAACACGTAATAAAACAAGTACTTGGCCATCTTCATTGTATTGTGAAGCCATTTCCTCCATTAGGTTTGTATACGTGTCAACACTGGCCCCTAACTAAACCCAGGTATGAATGGCCTTCGTTGACTTTGTAGACACCCACCGTCCTTCCAGCCACCACCCAGTCTCCCACCTTCTCTCTCCTAAAAGTTCTGCCCAGCATGGCATTCTCACAAATTCCCCACTAATTCATTCTTCTCATCCCAGCATTAATATTTTTTTTTGTCAACAAAACTGATTATACCATTTTCCTTCACACTGCACTTAGGATAAAGTCACAAAATATAAACAGTTTTGTAAACTCCTGTGTAATGTGGCCTTTGCCTTCCTCTCCGACATCATCGTTCACTAATTTCCTTCACTCTGTATGATATAATCTGGACTTCTTTCACTTTCTCAGTGTCCTTTCCCATTTCTGAGCCTCCAATATCTGCTGTTCCATTAGCTTGAAATGCTATCCCTACCTCCCCCTGCACATTGGCTTCATTATCCACCTCCGAGTCTAAAATCACTTTCTCAGAGACTCTTTCCCTGATACCCTAAACAAGAATCTCCTGACTGTATCCTCCATGTAGCAAATCGTAGTTCTCCTTTCATAAAAGATCATCCTTGTATTCCTTGTCTGACATTCTTACTAGTCTTATAAACTTATTAATGGTAAAATCATATCTGTCTCTGTTTTGTTTCCCAACATTTCTCACCACTAGTGTCTGGGATGTATCATGTGTGCTATAAATGTTTGTTATTGTTGTTTCTATAGGGCCCTCATATGGCCAACTGCTCTTTTGCCAACCACAGTTAATTTCATGTATGTAACCCTAGTGGTTAGTGAAACATTGTGGTATACAATATAGTTATTTAGTTGTTTTATTTATGTATATTTTGTTTCATGTAGTGCTTACAGATGATAAGTGGTTTCTGAATGAAAGAGAAGTATCTACCTAATTAGATAACAAGATTTTAGAGTACACCTGCTAGCCCTTAAATCTCTAATAATAATGATTAATAGTAATATATTTAGGTATTTTGTAGTTGCTGGTTGATTCCAACCTTAGCACAAATTTGTAAGACAACTAACTGGAATTAGAGAAAGTCTGAATATGGCTTGAACAAATATTCAGCTACCTTCAAAGCTACAGGACCAGTCTTATGATTCAATCTATAACCATAGCCTTAACAATATAATATTGTAAGCTAGATTTTCTAAAGCTGTTTGACATAATGACACATTATGCAGGGAGTTATAATTTGTGAAGTTTTATCTGAAAAATATTCATTTTTAAAATAGCTTCAGTGCTACTTTTTATTTTTTTAAAAAAACAGTTCACATTTGTTTAGAGTTAAATGTGGTAATTACAGTGGGGGTTATAGTAAGTATGGGTTTGTAGGAAATTCAAATGAGTAATAAAATCAAATGCTTTTTAGTAAGACAGCATTTATTATGAGGAGGAATTCGTTAGAATTTTGGGAAGAGAAATAGAAATAGAATAGACCATATGTTATTACTGGGTATTATACAAAATAATGGAAGAGAATAAACAATTATTTTATTTTGTAAAGTATAATAAATTTAGTAGAAGAAGATAAATTCAAAACAAAGCAGATTATTTTGAAGCATTATGCATTGAATCTGTCCCAGAAGACAGCATGGACAATTCCACTATCAAAATTCATTCAGACTACAAACAACTGATGAAAGAAAAACCCAAGTTCACATTTTTAGGGAGTGGGGAGTATATAACCTGACCTCTTGTTAAAATGGTTCCTAATTACTAGAACAGTCTCCTCTTAATAATATTTATTCTTTTTTAATAGTATATATTCCTTCATTGTAATGGAATCAGTGATTGTTTTTCTTTTATCATAATCATCTTAGGAGACCAGAATCTTACTCTAATGCCACTGCCAATGCTCAAAATATTTTGGGAACTTATTTTTTTAAGTGACTTGTATAATTGGTTTAGGAGCTGTTGTATAGCTTTGGTACTCTGATGTTACCCATCCTTGGAAATTCAGACGTAAAAGCAAGTCTAAGTGGCATCTGATTTCTCTGCTTATAAAACTGTGAATTGGCCTGTCTCAGACTGCCAGATTCACACATATATAGTGACCTGCCTTGCTTTCTCTCTTCCTCTCTCTCTTTCTTACTTCTTTCAAGTTATATCAGTAGATCCAAGAAAAATAATTCCTTCTCTTAGTATGTTCTTGGAAACTTCTAAGCATTTCATTGTTCAGAATGTCAGTTTGATCTTTCACATTGAAACTCAGGTTCTTGAATGCTTAAAGTGCTTTATAGCCAGTGTAGTAAGTAATGTCATTGTTCTTAACCACCATCTCTACCTCTCCCTGAACTCACATAGGTTTCTGGTAGCAAGAGAGGTGTCCAGATGAGTCAAAAACTGCTTTTGCATTATGGAGAGAGAAGACTGAGGTGGATCTTATTAGAGACTATACCTGGGAGAAGCAGTTAGTCTGTTTCTTCTGGAAAACTACTTAACTACATCAGCTCATATATGATTTCTTTCCTACATTCTCGATATAAGCCACTCAAGAAAATTAATGAGACCTAATATTTGACCAAAACTGGTAATACCTTGGTCACCCATATTATTCTCCAAACTTGATTCTGAATGAATATTGACCATTAAAAAGATCAAGAGCACTTGTGCATATTTAAAGGCATATACCTTGAGAGCCTTCAGAATAAGACCCTTCGGTTCTTATGAAATCAAAAGACTCATCAGCTTTGTTGTAGTTGATCAGGTAATACCTTTCTTCCCTACTTGTCCAATTTCTTTGAAGGCAAATACTGTCTTTCTTGATAAATTCCTTAATACTCAATATCTAACAGAGTACCGGCATAGAATGAAATAACCATTGAATGAATGAATGATAAAGAAGTTTAAAACATATTTAGAAGGAATAAAAGCTATGAAATATTAGATAGCTTCCTAAGTTCATCCCCATAAAGACACTAGTATTCATTTGAATGCATTATGGCGTGCTATTTTTAACTAGTCCCATTAATTCATAGTTATATATGAGTTTAGATATATATTTTGATATACACTAAGCGGATTGATCCTGAGATTAAGTCATGATTGCTGTTTGGGTAAAGTGTTCCTTTGGGGAAATAAATACTTTCATATCTGTAAACTTTCGTGTAGTTATTTATGCAATGTATTGTCATGGTTATAAACTCAATATTGTATTCTTGTCTTAGGGAAATTATGAATCTTGTTATCAACTGTATCCCCCTTTTTACTCTGG